AGTGATAACGATGATGTACATGGAGACTGTCAAGATAACTTCTCTTAGTAGGATTTGAAATTTAGAATCTCAAGACATGAGAAATGATGATGATCTGTCTTGAGCATGACTTTCGAACACTTTAATTTTGTAACTATAACGTTTGTTGTTGCAAATTAGTGATTATAATTGTTGAATGTTTTATGAAAGCTAGTTTCAAAATTTCTAAATTCTATTAGAAAATACTGGATACAAAATCGCCAAAAGTTAAGACTTTTGAAGTTAATAAATAAACCAAATACTTACAATCACATAAACCACCTCCATATTTTCTCTACACATTAAATATGTTTTTTATATTTTTTAGAATTTTTTTTATACTTAGTGAGTGCATCGTGGTGATGCACCCGCATCTGGACTGCATCGAGCAGCATCGGCCAGGCCAACACATCGGGCCGCATCCCACATCTTAAAACACTGCCCTAAACCACTAAACAAGCTTTGCATCGCTCAATCAAACTATCTGGTTTGTGCTTCATGGTAAACACCCACCTGCATCCAACCGCATGTTATCCTTTTGGCTAATCAATTATACCGCAAGTTCGTTGCTTCTCTATGGCGATCAATTCCTCTTTCATGTTTGTTTCCATTGTGGATGAGCCAACGCATTCGTAACTTTGGTGGGAATGGTAACAGAGGAAGTATAGCAAAGGTATGCACGAAAGGAAGGTGAAAGTGAAGCATCAGAAACAAGCTTACTAATTGGATGAGAAATCCTTTTCTCTTTTCTTACATCAATAGGCAAATTGAACTTAAAGGCCACAAAGGAAAAGGAGAAGGGGTACATGACAAGTCAATGACTTGAGGCTTATCATTTACATCAAATTTTCCCTTGTTCTTTTTCCCTGTGTACATATTCAGCTGTGTCTCAGTGGATTCCACATGTTATTTGGTCATCTCACTGGAACTATTTGTGATCATTAGAAGAGGAATAGGATAGTCATGATTGTTACATGACTATCACAACCTATTATGCAAGATTACAAGAAATGCATGATCTTACAACAATAATCCATAACAATTATTGTAGGTTTAATGGGCGTGGGGCCTATAATACTCACCACAAACACCATTTAATCCAATTTCATTTGCTGTAATTTGAAAATCAAAGACTGGAACCAACACCGATCACTCCTCTATAATTTTAAAATTTAGATATCTTCTCATGAGATACTTTTGCCAGCATTCTCCTCTCTATATTTTGCTTCCAAAGCATCCTACAGATCCTTTGTAGTTGGTATTCCTCAGTAAAGATCAAACGAAGGATAACTCCACGCATTCAGGATATACCCTTTACATATACAATTATCTGGATCTCATTGCTGTTTTTAATTAGGAAAAGGTGTCAACACAAAGTTAAAACTTTGGAGGGATGCTCTAGAATCTAGAAGTTTTAAAATTAGTCAGACAAAGATACATTATATGGAATGCAAGTTTAGTAATAATAGGAGTAGAGACGAAAAAGCAGTTAAGATTAACGGCCAAGAAATACCATAAAGAGCACACTTTCAATATCTTAGATCGATAATCCAGAAAATGGAGAGATTGAGGAAGATGTTGCACATAGAATTAAAGTTGGCCAAAAGAAGTGGAGATGTGCAACCGAAGTTTTAGTGATTGTTGTTCGCAATATGGCCTTTCAAGGCTTAATCCCAAGAGTCTTTCGCTTAGTGGGGAGTGAGTGAGATAGATAGAATATGGGTACTTTGTGAACTGGGGTCCAGATTCTCTTACCCCGAGTACATGAGGCACTAAGAGTTTATATTTTGAGAAATCAATTTCCCGAGGAGGTGTGAGGGTCACTTCCTAGTCAGGAATTTTAATTAGAATGCCTCATGATTAATTGCGATTATCCAGGGCTAGAAGAATCCAATTAAGTAGTATAGAGCCCGAGTGCTTGTGAGAATCCAATTGAGTAGTAGAGACGAAGAAGCAGTTAAGATTAACGGCCCAGAAATACCATAAAGAGCACACTTTCAATATCTTAGATCGATAATCCAGAAAAATGGAGAGATTGAAGATGTTGCATATAGAATTAAAGTTGGGCAAGCGAAGTGGAAATGTGCAACCGGAGTTTTAGTGATTGTTGTTGGCAATATGGCCTTTCAAGGCCTTAATGCCAAGAGTCTTTCGTTTAGTGGGAGTGAGTGAGATAGAGAGAATAAGGGTACTTTGTGAACTGGGGACCAGATTCTCTTACCCTGAGTACATGAGGCACTAAGAGTTTATATTTTGAGAAATCAATTTCCCAAGGAGGTGTGAGGGTCACTTCCTAGTCAGGAATTTCAATTAAAATGCCTCATGATTAATTGTGATTATCCAAGGCTTGGAGAATCCAATTGAGTAGTATAGAGCCCGTGTGCTTGTGAGAGTCCCTATATGGGATGGTCAAGACTCATGGGACATGAATTTGTAACCTGACACGACACCATTCCATGGAAAGTGCGCTTTCATTCGGAAGGGAAGTCACTCTTCTTAAGTTTTATCCAACTTAGAATAGTCAGTGCACATGTGTAATGAGAAGACCCATATATTTCAGTAGGAATATGTCCCACAGAAGTGCGCCTGCAAGCTATTGAGAACCTGATGATGGGAAGCTCTGCCTCAATGACTTTGACGTGTCCAATTATATGTCCATGCCATTGATTTTAGAGCATAGGTGCATTGGGACAACTTGAGATACAGCAGAACATCATTCAATGCTAGCCCGATAGAGTACATTGATACCTAGAATCAAAGCCGCGAGATCTCACATACCTTTTGTCCGATTTTACTTTAATGAAAAATGATGTAAAAAAGTTTAAATATGATTTAAATATTCATTAGAATTTTTTGAGAACTTTTTTGGATTTTTTAAATCACCAAAAATGTGATTTTCATAATTGTTTGGGCTTATTTTCATGTAAAGACGTCCAAGTGGATGCCATGTGGCCATAGGGTGGCCACGTGGCACCAGGGACCCCTCAAGTTGGGCCCCCCTTGTTTGGGTGCAGATTCCCATGCTGGAATACCCTATGGCACTTGGTCACTTATCTTTTTTTATTTATTTCAAACCTCGAGTTGTATTGTCATTTTGGTTGCTACATACCAGGAAAGCTGAAAGGCAAGTTTTATAGGACCACTATAAGACCAGTTTTACTTTTTAGGGTGGAATGTTCGGCAGTCAAGAAACAATATATCCATAGAACGAATGTAACTACGAGGAGGATAATGAGATGGATGAGTGGCAAGACAAGGGATAAAATTAAAAATTAATACATTCGAAAGAATTTAGGTATGGCATAAATACACGATAAGATGAGATAAAGTAGACTTATGTGGGTAGGCCATGTGATGCGCCTACCCAATACAATACCTGTTAGGAAGTAAAGTTAGTTCAAGTGGAAGGCTCAAAAAGGACAGGGGGTAGACCCAAAAGGACATGGTTGGAAGTTGTGAGAAAAAATATAGGGACTTATGGCCTCACTGAGGGTATGGCTCTAAGTATAGCAGAATGATGGACCACGATTCATGCAGCCGACCCCAATTAGTTGAGAAACGACTCTGACTATGATGGTGATGATCGTGGTTTCTTCAATACATAGTCCACTTTGAGGTCCTCAGCAAGAACTGGACCATGGACTGCCGCCTTCCAAAATCGAGTTCAATAAAAATTGATCCAACTTTACAAAATCTTGGGGTAATGCTTTCAGCAAGTTTCCAATAGCCATTTAATGAAAGTTTCACATCAAAATTGTTGGTTTTAATTTGCCTTTAATCAACTTTTTTTGTCTAAATCTCCCCTTAACAAGAGGCGAATATAAGTATGGACTTCAAAATTAAATTTCCAATTAACCCATCAAATGTTAGATCCTATTTCGAAAAATTGAGACTGATAGATTGGGATTTGGAGCACGAGAAAATTTTGCTTTCTTCAACTGATAAACTCCCCTAACCCGAAAAGGTTCCAAGTTACAATTCGATACCGGCAAGTTCGCTGACCAGAAACAACCCTGACTACAATTGAAGCGAAAGACTTTTGAGTCACACTTTCGAAGATCTTTAGAATCATAGATTATCTAATCCTGCTTCCAAATGGTATAATAGTTTAGGGACCTCAATTTCAAACTAAAATAGAAGGTCAATGGTCCTCAATAAAATTTATAGAGCTTGTTAAAATCGATTTCTTCAAGTCCCATGCTTCCCATTATTATCCGTTTGGAACATCCTTCATTTTCCTTTTCTTCTTCCCACACCCCTCATTTTTTCACCTCTCACCTTGAATATGAGTACACAAACTAATAAAAAAAATCACCTCGGGTGACATTGTTGAGAGAGAGGGAATAAAACCGCGAGTAAAGACAAACATCAAAGAGCGAAGAGCCGCATCAAAGTGATGTGGCTTCAAGCCCTTCAAGCTCTACATGACAATAAAAAAAAGGTTCACAAAATAATATAAAATCTACAAATGAGGGAATAATATGTGTGAGTGTGTGCTTGATGGTTAGAACACATAAACAATGGGACAGTGAAGTTCACTGTGGCAAAGAGCTTACTGTGGTGAAATCAAGTTCATCGGCAAAACGTTTTCGCCTAGGTGAAGATATATACCACAGGCACATAACGAATTTAGTGACCCAACAAAGAGCAAAAAAACAAACATAAGAAAATTTTTGTGGTAGCTTACCTATCCCTATTCATTTTTCCTATTTAATTTTGCATGCAAACAAGGTATGCTTCAAGCTTAAATAAACACCTTATGTTCATGCCTAGGTAACACTTGTATTGACTACAATACTAATTTTGTAAATTTATAAAGTAGGAATTCTTGCATGATCCATAAATTAGAAACACTTTCATCAGTTTAGGAACAGAATTATTAACCACTAACCATGAAACAAGTATATATATATATATTAAAGAGGGAAAGGAAACAAGTTTCTCATTTTAAAGGTTCAGACTCTCCTCTCCATTTATCTTACCCTTTCTAGCCTGCTCTTTAAGTAAAGGATTTCATCCTTCTTTTGTCTTGTCAACTGTTCTTTCACAGTATCAAATGATTTCCTGCAACAAGGAGCAATCCAAATTCCCATAAGGCATTAAAATATCATATATAGACGAAAAAACAGTTCTATTTCTAATAAACGAAGAATCAGCTCCCACAATTGTGAAGAACCCCAATGACATGTATTTATGGATACTTTTAACTCCTCTCACAGACTTTAGGATCAAAAGAAATGATTCGACAGTTTGCTCCAACCAAATAGGTCCCAGATCAAGACAATAACTAAGTAGAGAGAGGAAAAAAATAGCTTAAAGCTTTTTTTAGGAAATGTGATATCTGAAGTTTGTGATAAAGAAATAGGATATCTCCATCCTCATGTGACTCTTCTAGATGGCCGATTGACCATATTAGCCCTCTTTTGTATTTTGGGAAATTTATCAAAATATACGCTTAGGAGATGAACAATTTAACACACTACCCATTTTTAACTATTCTTGCTCAAGATCATGTGTTTTTTTATAAGTATTTTGATATTAAATCAAAAGATATGGCTCAAGTGTTAGATTGTTCATCTCTCATGGATAATGTGATAAATTTCCCTCCCCCCCCCCCCACCCCCCCCCCACTGATATATATATAGGAAAAAGAGATAGAGAGCTGAGTGCTTAGACACTGGGTGGGCGTCCAAGTCTCAAGGCATCCCAGACGAAACATAGAAGCATATATGTACGGTCTAAAGGCATGGAAGTGTATCACTTTTTCTATACTTATGCATTTACATGTATTCTATAAAATACTCGAATATCCATAAAGACCGTAAACTAAAACGTTTCTATACTATGAGAAGATTTATCTTTCTTACAAGGAGGTCACAATTACTCTTAACCATTAGATGTTAAATTTGGCTTAGGGTGTGCCACAAAATCCAAGAAATTTTTCTCGCAATTATGAATCTAGTCAATGACATTTCAACGACGATTTGATTTGAAATCTAACAAACCAGAATGATTTTGAGGTCCTTGTACGAAAAATAAATGATCACTTTGTATACTTTCCCAAACTAAATAACTTAAATACAAGACCACAACCACATGGCCAGACTCCACAGTCCATAGACTTTAACTCCATATAGTGTGCGAAATACAAAAATCCTAAGTTCATGGCCACAATAGAATAAGAACTAAGAAAGTCATAAAAGTAAAATGATACAAAACATGAAAAGAAATTTAAGAAGAATTTAGTCTTTAATCATCATCTTCTTCAGAATCATTGACATTCTCTTGAGCACCTCGATCGGATTCCAAACCATCATCATCACCACAAATCACAAGTATCATCCTTTTCAACAAAATGACCCTCCTACTCAATTTCTTGAGAAAAGGGACTCCCCTATCTTCCTCCTCTCCTGTGAAATAGGAGTGGTGGTCATTGATCCCATGACCCTCCTTGAGTTGGAAAACTACCTTAAAGCCTCCTCAACCATGTCCCAAGTCAAACCCTCAATAAGAAAGACATCCTCAATCCCAAGGCCTTCAACCATCCACTCCTAGGCATCATCCAAGTCTTTGGATGCAATGGGATTCCCCTTCTCATAAATTATGCTTGACAAAAACAAAATTATTGAGCGGAGCCTCTCTAGCTCAAGCATCTTTGTTCTCTTTGTATGCACCTCTTGGAAATGTATGTGCCATAAACTTAGACAACTAAGTAATACTTCAAAAACATAAACCACTAAATATAACATCATCATCATATGAGCTTTATCCCAACTATTTAGGGTCGGCTAAGAAATCAAATAATCTATAAACTTACAAATACACTACTTAATTAAGGTGTTTGAAAGACAATTAACCTTATGAGAATTAGTTTATCTTATCATAAATTAATATATTATGCATAATATTACTTATTGATATATTCTGCAAAATATTATTCGATTAATTATAAAATATATACCTTGTGCTTTATAATAATATTCCTTAATTATTGATTGTTTTGGTGATTTTCAACAAATGACAATGAATAAAGTAAAAGGATTTTACAATAAAATATATTTATATTAAAATACATTTAACTATTCTTTTTTACATAAACACAAATGTACTTAGCTTTTTTATAACAAACGTTGATCCGTGAGATTGCGTAGGACATTTACACATTTTTAATTGAAAAATATAATTTCCTCCTTTCTCTCAAACCCTCTTGTCCCCTCTCTCTAACTTTCGACCTGCTGAGCTCCGTCCCCCTCTGTTTAACTTCTCTCCCTAACCGGCACATGAAGCATACACCAGCCACATGCCAACACTAACAGATAGGTAAGAGAGAGAAGGGTTCTTGGATATAAGAGAGGGATTACGTTGGTGAGGTTTGAAAACCCATCTGTCATGCTTTCAATAATAGTTGCAACTTTCAACTCATTTCTCTCTCTAAGGCTCTTTTCCTCAACAAGAACACCATCTCCTCTTTCTAACCTCAGCTTACAACTCTTTCTCTCTCTAAACCTATCTTACCCATAAAAACACAAACCCCCTATCTCTCTCTAAACCCACCCTACGACCCTTCTCTCTAATCCTCTTGGATCTCAATACAATGCTAGTCTTTCTAACCTCTTTCTCTCTATTCTCCTACCCACCAACCACAAAATCCCCTTCTTTATCTCTCTAACTTGGTTCTCTCGCTTTTTCTCTAAAAAACACAAACCCTCTCTTGTCTATCTAACCCATGAAAAAGGTGGCTCTCTCTCCCAAGACTCCAACTTACAGCAAATTAATGAATAAGTCTCTCTCTCTCTCTCTCTCTCTCTCTCTCTCTC